CACAGATTCCATATGCCCCCTACGCGGGAACACGTCATCAGGAAACTTCCCAATTCTGAAAGAGTTGGTCATTCCACCTTCCGAAGATCATAAGGCAGTTGATCTAGGGCGAAGACCATGTGCTGGTCTTCACTATGCCACGTAAGCTCTGATAGTTACTTGTGTTGGACTTGACAATCCGCCCTAATGGTTACGTTGGTCCTGCGCTAGGGACACATTATAAATACCCTATTTCACTAGAGGGTTAGATATCTTATTCACTACACATTTTCTCTGTACTTGTTCTTTCTCTAATTTCGTTACTCACTTAAGCATCAAAGCACCTTGTAGGTACACCCCTCCTCCTCTATAGCACCAGTAAAGACAACAACTCACGACGCGTATTTATGATCAAGTGATATTATATATATATATATATATATATATATATATATATATATATATATATATATATATATATATATATATATATATATATATATATATATATATATATATATATATATATATATATATATATATATATATATATATATATATATATATATATATATATATATATATATATATATATATATATATATATATATATATATATTGGGGATCAACTTACTCCAATAATAATTTTTTTTAACTTACTCCACATCATAGCCTTTAAATTGAATCTAATCTAGTGATTAAATTAATATTTTTACTTATAACTATTTGATTAAATCTAATTTAAAGGCTATGATTATGGAGTAAGTTATAAAAGCTTATTGTTGAAGTAAGTGGATCCTTACTCATATATATATATATATATATATATATATATATATATATATATATATATATATATATATATATATATATATATATATATATATATATATATATATATATATATATATATATATATATATATATATATATATATATATATATATATATATATATATATATATATATATATATATATATATATATATAAATAAGAGAACTTGAGAAAGAGGCAATAGAAAAACCCTAGAGTTAGAAGAGGAGAGGAAAACCATTGGAGAAGAGCTTACTTGTTGGAATTCTATGGTAAGGCGGGATAATAACTTTCAATAGGGCTTATGCATGAAGGGTAGGATAGAGGAGTCCTTAACCTCCAATAGGGTATTGAGTTGCTCATGAAATTTTGAGTTTCTATAATATTATAATATTGATTGGTTGAATTAATGTGGTATGTGATTACTGTTTTGAAATATTAATATTTTCCAACATTGTCGAAGGTTTGAAGTTTTGGGGTAAATGTGAAAGTATGAAAATACATGATTTTGTTGATGTTAATATGTGATAAATTGTGAATTTGTGGTTTTAGGCATTGGATAATTGTTGTATGTTAAATTCTGAGATCAGTGCTTTTTTTCGAAATCGAAATCGGAGGTCTAGAAGGGCTTCTATGGTAGAAAACACAGAAAAATAAATTCGGGGTGTTTACCCACAAATTCTGGGACTCGGTGACAAACTGGCCGTAAGATAAAACCCAGTTTTGGGTGACGTTTGTCAACTCTCATAACTTCCGTTATGGCTAACAAAATATATCATAACTTGATATTCGTGACTACGTTTAGGACGTCGTTCAAAGCATTGGAAATCTAACGCGTAATACTATCTCATGGTGATGCTTTAAGAGGCTGAATGTGCACTTAATGATGTGAATATACTATTTAACTTAAGGTGTAATGTTAGTGGTTGTGTTTCTAGTTGTTGAGTTGGATTTCATGTGTTGTACTCTCGTGCGATTCATGTTAACTGTTGTTGGGCGTGTTTTAGGTGACTTGAATTAATTATTTGTATGATTAAATTGTGTTGTTGAGTGTTAATAATTTATTTAGAAATATTATTTAATTGTTATAGTTAAATCGAGAATGCTTTTTGGTACTGTTATTTGATTAACGAAAGATGGTATTTTGTATGCATAAATTTGATTGTATATGACGTACGAATATTTGAGTTGTGTGATGCTTGTTTGTAAATATGCATAATTGTTGCCGTGGTGATGGTAATTCAAAAGTGGAACTACGTTGTTGTATGTTATTTATGTTTTGATGTGTTTGCATAATGAGTTGATTAAATTGATGTGCTGTTTGAAATATAATTTTGTTGAGATATATTCTTAGTATGCTTGTGTTGCATTGTTGATTGATAATATGCATTTTGTAATTTTTGTGTGATGTAATCCAAATAAAGGTATACTAAAGTTGTCAATGCATTTATGTTAAGATCAGAAGAGGGATGTTAAAGCAATGATATAACGATATGATCATGCATCACATGAGTTGTGTCAAAAGGCATGTTTGCTAGTTCAGAAGAGGGGACGAGACTAGTGACTTGTCCCAAGCTCAAAAGAGGAGACCTGATTCTAGTGAGAACCGAATATTAAGTTGGTACCACATGTATGTGCATAGAGTTACATAGTCGAGTTGCATTGCATAACGAGTTATATGCATAATTATTAAGTTGTGATTGACTGATGAGTTTGGGTGTGAAATTGTGATGATATATACTGTGAATGAAATTGTGTAGAGAATGTTGTGTTATTATCCTACATTGCAGTATATGTCTGTTATTATTGTTTGTGATTTCTCACCCTTTTGTTGTTGTGGTATGTGCTCCTCTTCGGGGTATAGATAAGCAGGTAACTGAGTAGCTGTTTTAGAATTAGAGGAAGGCATGAGGGTGTTTCTTCATTTTTCTTTATGTGTTTAGTTTATGTGCTCTGATATGCAACACTAGGAACGTTTTGTGAGTATTGTTTTATATTTTCTTTAGAGAGTTGTTGTATATTATGAGGATATTTCATTTGTGTTTGATTATGCCATAATGTGAATTTGAAGTTTAAATGATTTAGTTAATGCATCCTTTATTAGAAAAAATTATGTTTTGATGATACCCTAAGTGAAGGTGAGCATGCGATGACACCCTAAGTGAACGTGTTGATTGTTGTTTTTATTTGATAAAGTGTTACATGACATGTATGTTTGAAAATAGAATGTGTGACATCCTACTCGATTGTGTAAATACTCTAATTTTATTGAATAATTATGCGTCAAAGAAATATGGTGTTCTAGTTATTAAGGCCAAAATATTAATATTTTAAATATTTCTGGGTCTTTTATGTTTTAAAGTTGCATGTATGCTTTTGGGTTGCACTATATTCAATGTCATGTTTAAACCGATTTCCTTCTCTTCCGGCATGAGGCGACATGTAATTAGATGCCCGACTAATTTTTCACACATGTCATGGTTATGTAAATCACATATTACATCAAAGCTCTATTTGTTATTTAAAAGTAACTACACAACGTAAATGAACACTCACACTTTCTTGAACCAATGTCATCTCATCTGAAATTCTAAAGAAGACTTATATACTTTCCACTTCTTTCACACGTCATTATCACAAATGCAACTCTTCTAACCTAACCATTATCATACCTCAAGATTACAACATCAAATATCAATTTGGATGCCTCTGTACGAATTCACTGAAGCATATGATCACAAAATTCAAACTCTTGTCCATTTGTAAATTAGTTTCCAATATCTACCTCCTTCACATCAGCACGTTTGATATCAGAAGATACAATAGGTTTGCGAGAAACATCAGGGTACACCATATCTAATACAAACAATAACATAAAGTTTTCAAAAACAACTGAAAATAAAAACATACAGGTTGCAAATGAAAACAGACAGACTTCGAAAATGCATTTCCAGAGGAGTTCATACAGAATTCAGAAATACATTTTCGGATGCGACATAAGTTTTTTTAGCTAAAAAACAAGATTAACGAGCAATGAGGAACGCAATAAACGATTTTTACCTTGAATTCTAACTTTTTTTGCTCCTTTTGATGTGATGAAACACAAATATGAAATTTTGGAGTGAAAATTTTGATTGAAAATTAAATGTTTTTTTGAAAGGGTTTTGGGTAAAAATGGGTATGGAGTTTGATCAGCAGAGTGTTATTTTATTAAAAATCACGTTGGATATTTTCTAAAATACAACTCTGGAAATAACTGACATGCAAAGGTGGTAGGTTTTCAAATTTTCGCTTCAAAACTTCAAAAACACAATTCCTTAAAAGTCATTAGGTTGCTAAATATTGTAATCACAAACAATACCTTTCAACAAATCAAGATTGAGAAACGAAGTTCTTGGATGAACAATGAAATCAGTTATAACAAAGAAAGAAAGAAAGAAAAAGAAGAAGGATTATGGCAAAATTGATATACTATTTACTTTCTCAATATTACAAAAGATTACAAATGAATAACACAATTTTTACCACACTGAACAAACTGAGTGTTATAGCCTATATATAGACTAACTAGATAACTTGTAACCCGAACTAGCTAAATAATTGGATTCATAACAAAATGCCCAATTCGACAAATTTTTTGACAATACTTATTAGAACAGACTTCGACTACAATATGTATTCTTCGACCACGACATGCGATCCAACTTCAAATTCATGCTTGTCTTCTGTCGAAATACATAAAAGCTATTAATCGACAAAGTTTGAGTTCGACCCAAAATCTTACACTAAATTAAAAATAATTTGATACGATTTATCCATGGGATGACATTTATTTGGAGCTGGGACGTGTTTTAGTGAGACAAATGGTACATCGAAAGATATATTTTTAGAATTTAATAGACACTTTTAAATTTTTATATGATGTTTTAACCCCCTTTTAGAATGAGGTTAATCATTTTCTTAAAATAAATATGATATAGGATGAGATTAATAATCTTTAAAACTAAATTTAAAAGAGGCCTTAAAAAAAATGAGGCCGAAATAAAATGGGCTTGAAGGCCCATGTTTTGAGTCCACAAAATACAACCCACCACAAACATTAACCCTAACAATACAAATAGAGGACGACTCTAACTTCCACAAGTTTCAAGCTGATAGCCGCACCAGGACCAATTGAAGCCAGAAAGAAAAATCAAAATTCTTCATAATGGGTAAATCGGTTAATGTTTCCAATCTTCTGTGAATTCCTATAGAAAAATTAATATCGATTACAGTGTTTGTGGGAAGTTAACATGAACATGACGATGATAAATCGGTATGTGTTTTGAATTCAGGTAAGGTTCATGGATCTTTGGCTCGTGCCGGAAAAGTGAGAGGGCAAACTCCTAAGGTTGCGAAGCAAGATAAGAAGAAGAAGCCACGTGGTCGTGCTCACAAGCGTATGCAATACAATCGCCGATTCGTCACTGCCGGTAAGTTTTTTTACCTTTGATTTGATTATTTGTTGCTATAAGGTTTGAAAAATCGTGAATATTTTGTTTTCATATTGAATTAGGGTTTTTATTTTGTGTTTGATTTTTTTTTTGCTTGTAGTTGTCGGATTCGGAAAGAAGCGTGGACCTAACTCGTCTGAGAAGTGAGGATGATGCATAGTTGAAGGTTTTTTTTTTTTAATTAGTTTGGAGAATGTACTTTTTATTTTTACTGTTGAAAGAGTTTTGATTGAGGAACTATTGAATTTCGGACTATCTTTCAATGAAAGAGTTCTTTTTGTTCTAGTTTATTTCAGAATTGTGCAAAGTTTATTATGTTTTGTGATTGTCTGTTTATTTATTTGAGATTAGGGTGGCGGTTAAACTAATGAACTCATTTAAGTAGAGTTTGTCCTTTAGAATGTCTCAGCTGGATTAGCTTTGTTTAGCGACATTTCTTTTGAATTGACCTATGAGATAGTAGGTTAGTAATGGTGTTGGCACAAATGCCTGGTTAGCTTTGTTTATTGGAATACTTCTTCTGAATTGAATTATGGGGTAGTATGTTAGTTATGGCTTTCAATCTCTATAATATGATATTAGCATACATCTATTTTACAGGGACATGACCATAGAAACCTAACCCAAGTGTTCTAGTTCTCACCTGAACATGTTATTGATATGTGAAATCCTTTTAGTTGGTATGTGTACCCTATGATATAGATTTAGGGTTTTTTAATTAATGTGATCTCGGAGGATTGATTATCTGCCAAGTCATTATCCTTCTCTTTGTAATGTCTCGATGTGAGAGAGGGTTGATTGTGAGGTAAATTAAATGGATACAGTGATAGGTTCAGGTGTGGTTTTGGCTTAACATGTAAGTTGGATACAAATATATATTAGTAGTTTCTAAATTCCATTTAGAAGGAAACAAAGCCTTCCACTGCACCCAGTCAGTACTATGTGCATTATACCAGCATTGGTGATTGTTTTTGGAGTAGGCAATGTTAGTAGTTAATGGCTTAAGTTTGCGCGAGAGTTGTCATTCCTATCCATCTAGCCTTCTTCTCAAACCAACTCTATCCATCTGGCCTTCTTCTCAAACCAACTCGTCCCTTGAAAAATTAGCGTTATAATGTCTGTATCAAGTATCTCTAGGGGTTCAGAGCATAATACATTTTGACACTTGAAAATCTTAAATACTTTCACTGAGATCAATTTGGAAGCTTTCGGTAAGGCCGACACTATTTCTGGATGTGTGCACTTGTATAGTAGTAATTGTTTTGAAGCATGTATTTATTTGAAAATTTTGATAATTTTTAAAATGCACAACTTCTCAACTAATTTAAGAAGATCGGAGAAAAGTTGTTATTTTTCTCTAATTTATTTCCTGTCTGTCCTTCATTTGGTAATTGAATAATTGGTCCCACTCCAAAAGCCATTGTGTATGTTTGGTTATACGGGGAGGAGAATTGATAGAATTGATTTTGTTTAAAAGTAACTTTTATGTAAAGTGATTTATGGTTAGATACATTTAAATTTAAATGAGTTGTACAACTAATTTCTCAGAAGTTATAAATTGAATTTTTAATAGAATAATTTGGAAGATAGAATCAAGAACCAAATATCTCTCTATTATTCAAGAATCAATTGTTTTTGGCCTTCCAAAACTAAACCAAACATGCACTAAGAAATTTTCTAAACCTTCGTTCAATGCCCTAAACTAGCAATCAGAAGCTAGTCTGCATATTGCCTTACCCCTATTCATTCGTGTTTTGCTTGATTAGACCCACTCTACATCACCTTGTTCTCTGTCTTCCCAGATTTTTTAATACCTTGCAAGGCGTCCCTTTGTACTTTATTTTTTCTACATTTGTAAATAATTATCAAAACGAAATAAGAAGTTTGTCTAGTTTCTAAGATTAAACTCGTGTTAAAACCGCAATAAATAAACTAATACTTTTTAATCAATTTAGTCTCTTAGATTTAGTCCTTCACAAAGGACTAAACAGTTGAATTTAAGGACCTTTTAGTTGATTTTAGTTGGTTTTAATAATTGATGAAAAAGGTGATAGTTTAAATTGCATGTTTATTATATTCTCCACAAACTATTTTAGTCACTCGGTTTATGAAGACTCTTGTTATGACTAAGTTCTTTTTGATCCTGTTGTAACTAAATTTAACCAAGTAGCAACCATTATGGTCCCCACGCCAAAAAATTGTATCCTTTCGAACCGAGTCAAAAAGACACATCTGAGATAGTTAATGCATTTGATTTTATAACCTTGGATTCTGATTACCACTACTGGGCTTTACACCCTAGGGCTTAAATATTGTTCCCTTTCTAGCAATCAGTGTCTGAGATAGTTAATGCATTTGATTTCATAACCTCGGATTCTGATTTTATAACCTTGGATTCTGATTACCACGACCGGGCATTACACCCCAGGGCTTAAATATTGTTCCCTTTCTAGCAATCAGTGTCTGGGATAGTTAATGCATTTGATTTCATAACCTCGGATTCTGATTACCACGACCGGACTTTACACCCTAGGGCTTAAATATTGTTCCCTTTCTAGCAATCACCATTAAACTTGACATATCTTACTTTAACAGATATTTTGGGTTCGATTTTAAAAATCAACCATTTTTTTTTACTTTCATCTCATTCTTGATGAACACTGGTTATACAACGCAACACGTTTTATAGAGGAAAAAGCACGTTCAAGATTCACGTGGATGCACTTCAACGGTCAGTTGGTGACCTGACCCACCTTTCTCCACTCGTTGACTTCTGATTTGCACCATCGCTATACGAAAACCCCAAAGGGTGCATTGTTCAAACAATGTCATACCTCATATGTCAAAGATTATTTGTTCCACCTCGAAGTCCTTAGAACAAAATTGTGGGGTTGCCTTCTCCATTTTACCTTAGTTATTTTGTTTCTAGACTCAAACTGTCGATATGACATAAATTACAAGCTTTCCAACCCATCTTGGTAACCCGCACAACTTCTATGGCCAAACATTAAGAGGAAAAGGTCTTCGATCGAGCTCTTTTTCCCCTAAAAACCCCATCAAACACACCCATCATCTTTCCCCCACCAACCCGTCCAACTTTTGCTCCTCCTTTAAACTCATTCTCTCGGTCATTCGCTAAAAACCTCACACTTTTATCAAGCATTTCTCCCCTGATGAATTGCAATCCATACGTGAAAAAAGCTTTTGTTACAATTGTGATGAGTAATTCTAACAGCGTCATAATTGCAAATGAAAGTTTCACTTGTTAGTTATGTAACCAGACGACACCGACGAAGATTCACGTTGTCATTGAAGAACCCGACTCGACCCAAATTAATCTCCATGCTTTGATGAGTCACTAATTCCCAAACACGACGTGTTTTGGGCCAAATCCAACAAAGCTTAATAGTAATTCTCATTGATAGCAGTAATACCCACAACTTTCTCCAAGATCAGGTCGCTCTCCATTTTGGACTTGTTACCCAACAATCACATTTCTTTAAAGTGATTGTGGGTAATGGAGAGGAGCTTCACAGTTTTTCCCTAAGGTACCCTTGATTTTGCACTAACACAAATTCACAATTAATATGTTTATTTTGCCTTTGAATGACGCTTAATCGATCTATTTGCCTATTTCTATTAGCCTATACTTTAAAAGTTAAAGGACCAACTTGATACTTTTTAAAGATTAGGGACCAAATCCGAAGTAAAGTTAAGGGACAAAAAAAGTTATTTTTTCTATAAAAAAAATTACATTTAAAACGTGCTAATAATTCATAAAGTTAAAGGCTAATATATGAAAGTTGCGTAATAGGGATACAAACATATAAAAGTGTAGGAGTATATATAATTGATTTTTACTTCTTCATTTATGAATAACTTAAAAACTTAAATTTAAAATACAAAAGTTATCCTTATTAATTTATTTAAAAAATTAATAAACAAAATAAATCTATTAAATTTATTACTCAGAATTATTATGTTTTTTGAATATGTTTAATTTTTTAATTGATATTATATATTTAATACAATTATTTTTAACAACTAATACATATTAAAATAATTATATTAATTGTATTTATATCATGAATTTATTTAGGCGTAATTAGTCATCAAATTTCTTAATTTAATTTGATGTTCCGTTATAATCCTGTAACTAAAAAAATTAGGTATAATTAGTCACCAAATCTCTTAACTTAATTTGATGTTCCACTATAATCTTTTACAAATTAGTCTCTTAACTTCACTTATGTTATTCTATTTGGTCATTTCCGTCAATTTTTAAAATAAAAATCTTAAGTACAAGTGACGTGTCGTGACAGTAAGACTATTGATACAAATCTGAGTCAACATATGTAGTTAAAAATTGATACACTATTTAAACTGTGGGGTATGGATGACAATTTGATCCATTCTTAATGGGTATCCGCAAAATTACCCATAACAGGTAGAATAAAAACCCGCAAAAATGAATACGGGTATGGGCTCAAATAATTATCCAAGAAAATAAGCGTGTATGGTGTGGGTATGAGCACCTTGGTATCCACCTCGTTCCATACTCGCACAATATATATTTATGTATTTTCATTTATATTATTATATAAAAATGTATGTTTATCAATTTAAAAAAAATATCAATGTTAAAGCATTACGTATTTAATATAAGTGTTTGTTTATTTCAACAATAAATTATTTGAAATTTTTTTAATGTGTTTAAAAACTTTAAATTGTATGATATTTAATAATTGATCTATTTATTTTTAATAGGAATGCGGGTAACAAATACAGATATGGGTACTTACATATCCATAAGACAAGGGTACGGGTGTTAACTTTGGCGCCCAAGTGGGATATGCTCAAGTACGAGGATTTTTTAAAATTGTGGTATAGGGAATGGTACTATAGTACATTGCCCATTGCTATCCCTATGTGTGAGTTTTGTTTTCAGGAGAATCCAATAGTTTAAAAATTATATAAGTTTTTAATTACATATGCTGATTTAAATTTGTACTAATGACTTTTCTATCACGCAACGTAAACGAAGTTAAAGGATCAACTTGTAACACTTTTTAGTTAAAGAACTAAAAGAGAATATCAAATTAAGTTAAGAGACTACAATAAGAATTAAACTATTTATTTATTATTTT